GAACCGAGAAGACAGAGGTCAGGGCTTAGGTCCCTCCCAGGGCCTCAGTTCCCTCTACAGTGCTCTGTTGGCCCTGGAGCCCCCAGGCCTCTGCTTTGACCGGGGTTGTAGCCTTCTATCCCAAAGACTTCTGTGTCCCCCACTTCTTTCCAATATTAGCAGATATTGGGGTTCAGAAGGCACCTCTGGAGGGGTTCCAGGTTCTTGTGTCCCTGAACAAAGGACAGAGCAGAGACACACACAGTTGCAGCCAGAGCGGCAGGTCTACCCGAGGCGTGATCCAAGTGAGGACGTGAGCCTTCCAACTTGCCGGGCCGGGCTTAGAGCAGGCTTTCCCCTCATTTGCATAGCAAGGGTATTTTGGTTCATTTGCATGGAGTAGGCTTTTCTGAGTCCTCTGTTTGTCACATGGAGTTCACACAAATGCGTGTGTCAGCATCTCTCACTAGCGTCTTCAATCTGCACCCCCAGGGCTGTGCCACAGTGTTACAATGAGCCCCAGGCCACCCACAGACTCTTTGGAGTACTTGTGTCCCGAGCCAGAGGCACATGCAGATTTTTTCAGATTTAAAAAAAAAAAAATTTCTTTTCTTTGTCAGCCTTGGTGGGCTGGAGGTGTCCACTGTGGGAAGGGAGGGATGAGGGATTTCAGGCTTCCAGGGTTCTCTCTTTCCCAGCTTGGTTTTTTTTTTTTTTTTTTTTTTTTTTTTTTTTTTTTTTTTTTTTTTCATATTCTAATTTTGCAAGGCTTCTGTCCTCTGGTGGCCTCCAGGAGGGAAGGATGGGGACTTCTGTGCTGATCTGCTTGCACACACGAGACAGCAGATTCTGGTTCACCAGAGAGGCGATGGGCCACCTCAGGGAGCCATGGGCATCCTGCGGAGGACACCAAGGGCTCAGATGCCTTCACGCTGACCTCTGCTGACCCTTCCCTGTGGTAGGAGTCAGAGACAGGGCCAGGAGTGGGAGAATCATCCACCTCTCCAGGAGAGCTAGGAACCGAAGGTCCAGCAGGAGAAACTGTCGTTCCAAGTTGTGATAAATGCAAGCAAGCCTGGACCCTTCAGAGGAGGTGGCCTTGGAGGGCAACCTGGGGACAGTGAGGCTGTGTCAAAGGTCCTGAGGCATGTTTGTGCCTCGGGGCTGCAGAGAGGCCATTTTGTAAAGCCATGGAGAAGTGTGGGAGGGTGCCCATCTTGTTATATGCATGGGAGAGAGGATGGACCACAGTCTAAGAGGATGAGAGAGGAGGTAGGTTTTTCCATGGGCCAGTGGTGAAAAGACAGTTGTACTTTTAGAGTCTGGCTGACGGGGGAGAGGCCAGTTAACCTGGAGGCCGTGGCCATCCCCAGGTCAGGGGTGGTGGACCAGGAATGGGGGCAGCAGACCTGGCCAAGAGTAGAAGCAGTGGGATTCACAGACAGTGATAGAGCTTAGGGAAGGAGAGGCAAGGATACCTCAGGTGCTCAGTGGGAGCATGTAGGTGCCCATGTGGGACCTGGCATTCCATGCCCAAAGAAGTTTTACAGATTGTTAAAAGAGCTCGAGAAAGCCCCACCCGCCCTTGGTTCATAATCCAGCTCACGATCCCGGTTTTACTCACACTCAGGGACAATGCCAATCTGCAGGCCCCTCTGCCCTGGCAGAAACTCGAGGGATCAAGCAGGCTGGAACCCCAAGGCAGAACATCCCAAGGGGTCAGGGTGGCTGTTTTCAGAACTGATGGCTGCAGGTTGGGATGAGGGTAGCGGAGTCCCCTCTAGAACTTCCACTCCATGTTCTCTCTTGCATGTCATGGCAGAGCGGGATGCCTTCGACACGCTTTTCGACCACGCTCCGGACAAGCTCAACCTTGTGAAGAAGGTAGATCTTTGCGCCCCCCCCATCCACACCCCTCCTAGGACCCGTGCCTATGCAGGCCCTGTCTAACCGCTCTGTGGGTGCAGGGAAGGCGGAGATAAGGGAGGAGAGGTGTTTGGAGTGTCTAAGGTTGGCCTTGTGTGTTGAGACCACGCTCAGCCATGTGTGGCATGGCAGTGCCCTCTCACAATCGGGTCATATAGACCAGAGTGAATGTACAGCTTGATTCCTGTTGGCACTGTGCCGTTAAGACTCGGGCTGGCTTAAGAGCATGGTGTCCGATGCACAGCCTTTTTGTTTTAGCCGCCAGAAGAGGGTCTGGAGGTCTCAGCCCGTCGTGGTGGGGGCTGGGGGTGGTCTGCAGAAAGTTGCTGATATTGCCTTTGCCTCTCTGCCTTGACAGTCTCTCATCACATTTGTGAACAAACACCTGAATAAGCTGAACTTGGAGGTGACCGACCTGGAGACCCAGGTAGGCAGAGCTTTGGTGAAGGGTCCCTCTGGCCTGTGCTTCTAGCAGCTCTAAACTCAGGTCGGGTGTGGCAGCAAGTGGGGCCACCTTGTCCCTCTCAGGAGGAGCTCTCAGTGCATCTCGGACCAAGCTGGCTGCTCAGACCCTCTGCTTCCTGTAGCTGTGGCAGAGACTGAAGAGACTGAAGGCTGAAGCCATGGACTCTGTAAGCTGGGAGTCCAGAGTCCTAGGGTGGGCAGGCTAGCTCCTTCCCAGTCCCTCTGTGCTTTCTGCCCTGTTTCTGCAGGCGAGCTTTGGTGTTCTTGCATCCACAGATACATTACTTCCATCTTCTAGGACCTCCTCCCATGTCTACATCCCTGTGTCTGTACATCTGTATTCTGCACACAGCTCTCTGTGCCCCTCCCCACCCCCACCTCGTCTGCTTCCCCAGAGTTCGTGTCTAGAAATGGATGCATGAGAGCAAAGAAACATCATGCTGGATTAGAGCCCACCCTAACGATACAAGTGCATCAGGGACCCTGCTTCCAAATGGCGTCACGTACACAGAGTCTAGGGATTAGGATTCCAACTTACTTTGGGGAGAGACGGTTCAACTTTTAGCACCCACCCCCACGACTCCATCCCACCCTGCCACAGGACCCTTTGCCTCGAAGGAAGGTCTACGGGTCTGGAGCACTCTGTGCCCGCTGCTTCTGGGGTAGAGACACTGCAGCCTCACATTTGGTCCTATGGCGGCATGGAGACAATGCCCCATCCAACCGGGGGCTGGCGAGATGGCTCAGCTGGTAGAAGTGATTACCGAGCAAGCCCGAGGACGCGAGTTTGATCCCCAGGGACGCACCCAGTGGAAGGGGACAGCTGACTCCTACAAGTTGTCATCTGACTACATACGCACTGTGACCCAAGCCTGGTGCCCGTCCCGTGTGTCATACAAGTTACAAGAATAGGAATAAACATCCATTTGGGGAAACAGGGACAAACCCTTTCTTCCATGAGTATCTCAAACGCTCTCTCCTCCAGCTAGAGCACCATTGTGGTGACTGTCTCTGAGCAGACAAGAAGCCCTGAGGGTCCAACAGAATTTTCTCCAGCTTGGTTGTGTGCTTGAGTCCTGAGTCTGAATCCTCGGCATAGGCATCCCTAATGCTCAGTTGATCCTCCCTAAACCCCTGGGCGTTTTCTTCGATTGCTTTCTCTTTCCTTAACTTCTCTCATTTGCTTTTCTAATTAAAAAAGTAATTCAGGTTCATCGCAGAAATGTCTGAAAATGAAGATAAGGAAAACAAAATGAAAGTCACCATAATGTGTCACCCCACTGCATCCCCGGGGTTTGTTCCAAGCACTTCTCCTGGGGATTCTGGGTGTATGCCGTGTGGTCTGCCTTAGGGAGCAGATTGTGTATGTGTGCGTGTGTGCACATGCACACGCATGCCCGTGATTTGCAAATGTGGCTCTTATCCTTAGCTGTTTGCTCATGCAGCACGCTTGCTGGGTGACACTTTAGATTTCCTGAAGCCGGGGAAGCTGAAGTGAAAAGCTGTTTCTCTCCCTCCCTCCCTACGGCTCACCCCCCAACTCCGCCTGGTCTCTTTCAAAGTGTTCATGCATAAAACAACACACTCACTCTTTTTAATAACAGTCGATCACACTGGACAGCTGTTTTGTAATGTGTTGTTGGTTTTTTTCTCCCTAAATACATTTGGGCATCTTCTTGTGAGAGATGGATGTCTCTGTCTGAAGCTATTTCTCTTTTCAGTGTCAGTCATATTCATTCTCTCTCTCTCTCTCTCTCTCTCTCTCTCTCTCTCTCTCTCTCTCTCTCTCTGCGTGTGTGTGTGTGTGTGTGTGTGTGTGTCCCGTGTCCCTCCCTCCCTCCCTCCTTAAGATAGGGCCTTAAGGTTAGCCTTGGATTCACTTTGTAGCCCAGGCTGGCCTTAAACTTTTGATGATCTCCTGTCTCAGCCTCCAGAGTGCCAAGGTTATAGGCACGCACCACCATGCCTGGCACTGGGCTCTTTTAACCGTAACTTTCTTAGGTTGGGAGGTGCAACTCAGCTGCATAACATTTGCTCATGCTCACGGCCCTCGGTTCCCTCCCCAGCACTGTTAAAATAATAACTGCCTTCCTTTCGGGTAAGGCTGCATTAGAGGAAAGCAGCCCTATGATTGGACCCCTTCCCCATCCTGTGCATGCCGAGTGGCGGGTGTTCCACCCACAGTTATTTGTGCCCTGCCTGTTTCCTTGGGGTTAACATCTAGAAATGGAGGCAGACATGGAGGTGTGAGAGCAAAGCAGCATGCACCATGAGGCCTGGGGTGGTCTAATCATGGAGGCTGGCATCATCTGTGTGAGCGACTGACTGACCCACATCCACGGCAGCCCACCTAGCATTTCCTTTGTGGCCCTGCAGGACTCATAGCCAGAGCATCTTAGACCAAGGGGAAAGCTGTATTTTTGCTCACGTCTTTTTCTTCCCTGACATACACACAGTGTAAACTGGGCAAAGTCTGCTTTGGCCATCGCTGGCATCCTATTAAGTCTGTGCTTGGTGGCTGGTCCCCTGGAAGGCCTATCACCTGCTCACAAATGACTTTATGCCTTTTGCTTCTTAGGGGGGCATTTCCCCCTAAGCTCCTGGTTCTTCAAATCAGATATTTGCGGATGTTCCCTTTTTCATTTAAATGCTGTCAGGTGGGAGTCTCCAAGATCCTCGGGGACAGTGGAGGGCTGGGTTGAAAGGGTCTGAGCTTTTAAAGGGGTACCTCCCCCTCTTCAGGCTGTCATTGACGTATTTGGAGATGCTAGTTCCTGGAAGCTGAAGGCCTCTGAGGGGTCCTAGCCCTACCACCTCTCCAGGAGTCCTGCCTGGGAATGTTAGAAAAAGGCCCTGACAGGCAGACCCTCCTTTAATGATCGAGGTATTCTGTGGGTATGCCATTTACTACGGCAGTCACAGACCATTTATGTTGAGGTTGAAATATGGCTGGTACCCCTAGAAGCTACCTTCTGTGTTTTAATAAGCTTTTAAAGAGCCAAATTCAGGAGCCAGCAAAATGGCTCAGATGAGGGTGGGGATTCTTACTGCCAAGCTTGTCAACTTGAGTTTGATCCTGAACCCGAATGGTTGAGGGAGAGACCTGACCCCCACAAATTGTCCTCTGACTTCCACATGTGTGCCGTGGCGTGAGTGGGCATGCGTGGTGGGCACACGTGGTGAGCACACATACTCACCACATAAATCATGTAATTAAAAGAGAGTCAAGGGGGTGCTGGAGAGTTGGCTCAGTAGTCGAGAGCAATTGCTGCTCTTGTGGAGGACCTTGGTTTGGTTCCTAGCACCCATATAGTCGCTCTCAAAAACCGTTTTTAACTCCAGTTCCAGAGGATCCAATGTCCTCTTCTGACCTCCATGGACATTGGGCATGCGCCTCATGCTTACACATACATACATACTTGCAGGTAAAACACTCATATACAAAATGAATCCAAAAATAAAGAATAGTGTCCAATTCAGGGGTTCTGAATATTGCTTGCCCAGTAGTGATGCTGCTACTGTCTGAGTGGTCAAGGTGTATAAAGAGCCACACTTAAAATGGTTTGCCAAGAAAAAGAGGCAGCAGAGCTAGGAAGGATAAGGGGGCTGAGGGCACATGTTCCTAATACTTGGGAAACTGAGGGAGGAAAACGGCTGAAAATTCCAGACCAGGCTAGGCTAGAGAGAGAACCTGTTTAAACAAACAAACAAACAAACAAACAAACAAAAAACTGGCCTGGGGAGTGGGCTCAATGGGCCAGAACACATGCTGTGTAAATATGAGGACCTGAGTTCAAATCCCCCACACCTAGGTAAAAAGCCAGGTGTGGTCATGAGCATCTGCAACCCCAGTGCTGTGGGGGCCAGACAGGAGGATCTGCAGGGCTCGCTGGACAGCCAAAGTAGCTGAAAATGGTGAGCTCCAGAGTCAGTGAGAAGCCCTGCCTCAAGGAAATAAAGGAGAGAGCAATACAGGAAGACACCTGGTGTCCTCTGACCCCTGCATGCTTGCCTATAGAAGTACTCATATATACACAATGCACTATCACATCCGTGTGCGTACACACACACACACACACACACACACACACACACACACACACACCAAAAATAAAAAATTAAAAAAACAAAAAACAAAAAAAAAACCAAGCAACAACAACAACTACAAAAATTCTAGCACTCAGGAAGCTGGGGCAGGAGGATCATTTTGAGTTTGAGGCCAGCTTGGGATACATTGATGACCCTGCCTCAAAAAATATAAATAATAAAATAATAGTAATAATATAACCATAGCAATGGAAGGAGTATGGGGGTTCCTAGGGAGCCTGTGTCTAATGGAGACAGAATTCTGGAGATGGTTGGTGGTGATGGCGCATGGCAGTGTGAATCGCTCTTTATGCCACCGGAACACTTAAAAATGGTAAAGACGGGGCTAGTGAGATGGCTCATCACCAGGTCAAGACATGTGTCACCAAGCCTGATGACCTGAGGTCAACCCCTAGGACCCACGTGGTGGATAGAGAGTTGTCCTCTGCCCTCCACATGCTCACTGTGGTATATGTGTGCATACACACACACACACACACACACACACACACACACACACACACACACACAAATTCAAATTTAAGGGTTGGAGAGGTGGATCTGTGCATTAGAGCACTTTTTTTCTCTTTCAGAGGACCTGAGTTCAATTCCTGGTACCCACGTAGTGGCTCACAGCTGTAGTTCCAGTCCCAGGGCATCCAATATCTTCTCCTGACTTCCATGGGTGCCAGGCACACATGTGATGCACATACATACATGCAGGCAAAACATTCATACACATAAAGTCTAAAACTTGAAATTGTTTAAAACTGGTTAAGTTGGCAGATTTTGTATTCTATATCTCAGGGGTCAGTTGCTGCCACTGAAAAGCAGCCGTGGCCCCTCCCCGGCTTGCTGAGGGCAGGGCAGGGTGTCAAGAGTGAGGGTCCTTTGTTCTGAACCCCTGGTCCCCTCCTGTGGGTGACTAGGGCATGGGCCTCTTTCCTTGAGCTCTGCTGAGAGTTTGCAGTTCAGGGTGGGGATGCTGAGGTGGGGAGGGGGTCCTGGGGGGGGGCACTGCAGTTGTGGGCATTCCCACACCCTCCTACATACGTGCAGGGTGTCTGTCCGCCCCACACATGCCCCAGAATTGTCACTGAATTTTCTCTGCAGTTCGCAGACGGCGTGTACCTGGTTCTGCTCCTGGGCCTCCTTGAAGACTACTTCGTCCCCCTACACAACTTCTATCTGACCCCCGACAGCTTTGACCAGAAGGTAAGTGCCCTGTCTCCTGGGAGTGGCCCCAGCCACATTTACTGGGGTAGACAGGAGGAGTGTTCCCTGGTGCCACTGACCAGCTGCAGCCCCTCAGTATCCTTTAGAATGGGGAGCCACACAACATGTGGGATTCAATCAGGGATACAGCTCCCTGAAGACAGACTAGGAAACCCCTCTGTGGTATGCAGTGCGTCCAAGTTTGCTTGGTCGTGTCTCCTCCAAGTCTTTCCCACAGGCTCGGGTTTTTTTGTTTTTGTTTTTGAATGACTCTGGTCAGATGCCACACACAGCCCTCTGGGCTGGCCTGCTTTGGGAGCCTTCAAATGTTATGTCCCGGGGTGACACGTGTGTGGCTCTGTGACGTGTGCCTGCATGTGTCAATTTGCTTCTATTTTTCCCTCCTGCCGCAGTAGGGCTTTTTTTTTTTTTTTTTCAAATATTTACAGTCGTCCCTCGGAATCTGCTGGGGACGGGTTCCAGGGCCCCCTCGGGTACCAAAACCTGCAGATGCTCAAGTCCCACATGTGAAATGTCGTCTAAAGCCTACACATTTCCTCCTGTGGATGTTAAATCCTGTCTGGTGGCTTATAATACTTAATGCAATGCAAATGCTATGCAAAGTAGCTGCTTTCTGTATTGTTAGTGATCGACAGTGGAGGATGATTGTTCAGAACACTGCAGTCCCCCAGACACTGTCTGTGGTCTGCGGTTTGTGTCATCTGAAGACGTGTGTGTATGTGTGTGTGTGTGTGTTTCTGTGTCTGTGTGTCTGTGTGTCTGTATGCATGTGTATGTCTATGTCTGCATATGTATACATGTATGTCTCTTCATGTGTATATATACATGACTGTGTGCAGCCATGTATATGTATGTCAGTATATGTATATATGTATGTACATGTGTATGTCTGTGTTTGTGTATATATATATATATATATATATATATATATGTGTGTGTGTGTGTGTGTGTGTGTGTGTGTGTGTGTATGTCTGTCTTTATGTTCATGAGTATGTATGCGTATTCATTTATATAAATATACATGTCTGTGTATGTGGGCGTGTGTTTATGTATGCATGTATGTGCCCTCATATATGCCTTGTGGATCTGTCTATGTGTGTATGTATATGTGTGTGTGGTGTGTATGAGCATACATGTGTGTGTGAGTATATATGTGTATGTGGTGGGGCTGTGTGTATGTATGCATATTTTATTTCTGTGCTTGGTTTCCCAGACAATTCCTCTTGTAGGACCCCCCTGGATGGACCCCACCCCACCTGTGTCCCTGTTGTGCCGGTCTCTGTCCCTCCCAGGTTCCCTGCAGTTAGGTCTGCAACTGAAGAGTTAGTGCCTCACTTACGGGGACTTGGCAGAGGCCAGTCTGGGCTGCTTGGGTCTCATGGCACCTGCCAAAGTGTGAGGCCCATGAGGCCTGGAGGCAGACGGTGGCAACCGCAGCGGGAGCCAGGGGAACAGCAGGGGACAGGCCAGTGTTTATCAATCTGCCGGCTCCTGGCACCGAGCAGTCTGTCTGCTCGTGGCCAAATGTCGTTCCTATCTTGTCTGCAGAGATAGAATTGGGCAGATTAGAGAGGTCTTGGCATGCTGGAGTCCACACTGGGGATGGAAGGTGAGCGAGTGTGGTGAGGAATGAGCAGGACAGAGCTCATCAGGACCAGGAAGCCTGATGGAGTTGTAGAGACCAGAGGTCAGAGTGTCTGGTGAACAGGTCCCTGTGTATCCAGGCCCCCATGTAGCTATAATATCTCTGGGAGATCTTGTCTTTGTTTAAACTAATGAGGCTGGTGAGAACTACGGATAACCAGAAGAACTGGGTTTTTGCCCAAACAAGGCTTTGCCCAGGTGGGAGAAGCCACATTCCTCAGCCTGGCTTTATTCCTTTGAAACCAGGATGAACATTTATGCTGGCCACTGCCCTTGCCTAGAAGGCTTCAAGGATGCCTCTGGTGATGACACACATCCAGAGGGTCCACCCATTCTCCAGGGAGGCAGGAGGTCGGGATGTGGGTTCTCTCCTCAGGGAGACATGAGGATTGGGTCCCTTTCTTATTTACACGTATATTAACATACATTTACACACATTTACATATACATTCGGACCTCTTCCTCCTAGGGATGGTGGTGAGGGTCATCATCACAAGTTATTGCCACACCTCTCTGAGCCTTGACCCACGGATCTGTCTCCTAGTCCTCGTGGCTGGGAGGGTCATGCCCTGCACTGGGGCAGGGCAATGTCTCTGATCAGCTCTGTGGCCTGAAGTTGGGGGTCCTTTGCTCTGGCCCCCGGCATCTTGGTGATGACATCTTAAGGGTGCCGAAGGAGGCAGAGAGTCAGCAAGCAGAGCAGATGTACCATGCGCTCCCTCAAGCAAAGCAGCGGCCTACATGGTTAACCAAAGACGCTAGTCTGGGGATGTGGCTCAATTGCTAGAGTACTTGCCTAGCATACGCAGGTCCTGGGTTCGATCCCTGGCATTGTGTAAACAGGCACGATAAATAAACATCTGTAATCCCAGCACTTGAGAGGTGGAGGCAGGAAGGTTAGAAGTTCAAAGTTATCCCCCTAGACTTAGTTTGAGGCCACCCTGGCCTAAATGAGACTGTCTTGCAAAAACAAAAACAAAAATAAAAACAACCAACATTAGGCTGAGGAACAGGTCAGTGGTGGTGCATGTGCCTGGTGCCCAGGAAACCCTGGGTTCACTCTCTGGCGCTGGGGTGGAAGAAGCCACACAACCAGGCAGCTCAGACCCCGTGGGCTCCTGCCTTCTGTTAATTCACGACTGACATTGTAAGGCAGATTATTGCTGGCATTCCTGGCTCACTCACGGCAGAGTGACAGACACTGTCACTACTGGAGAGACAGTTGGTCACTGTGAGCTCTCAGGCCTGTCCAGCTGGTGTCTGTGAACTTACTGGTTTGCTGCTCCACCTTCCCATCCTCCCCTGCTCAGGGCAGGTAGAAGCTGCACATGGTTTGGTTGGTCTTGACTCCTGTAGACTTTAAACAGGACAGAGAGACTCCTGCTTGGAGCCTCTGGCCGTCATTAGCAGAATGGAAGCCTCAGTGGAGTGTTCCATTGGGTGGGCAGGGCAGAGCAGGATGGGCAGGCAGATGGTTGGGGCTGTAATAACCAGAGACCTTCATGCTGGCCTTTGAGCTAACCTGAATTCCAACAGGATCCCCAGTTGCCTCAAGAACAGTGTACCTACCTCACAGAGACACAGGCCTCCATGGATGCCCAGCTCTTTAGTTATCTGACAGGTAGCACAAAGTTGCCCTGTGCTGGGAAGAATGTCCAGAGCTGAGTGCCTTTGCAAGGGAGTTGTCTTCCCCAAGCCTCAGTTTCCCAATCTGTCATGTCTCATCATGTGGCAGATTCTGGCTCAGAGGGAGCACTTGGCTATCAACCCTGGGGGAGGAGGGCAGGCTGGAAGCTGCCATCCTTCCATCCCCTAAACCCAGATCTGTTGACATGGGGAACAGGAATTATTAAGGTACGCCCCGTGGACTCCCCGTGTGCTTCCCCTGTGTCCTGGTGGGCTTTGTACAAAGGGAAGCAGTCACTTCTTTCTACACAGAAGGAAGGAATGTGTGGACATGGTCAGGTGTGGGGGACGTGGCCCCCACTGGCACTGACCCTTCTGCTGTCTTGTCTCTGGCAGGTGCACAACGTGGCCTTTGCCTTTGAGCTGATGCTGGATGGAGGACTCAAGAAGCCCAAGGCACGCCCTGAAGGTGAGACCCCGCCAGAGTAGTTCAGAACACTAAAAGAGGACATCGTGTGTGTGTGTGTGTGTGTGTGTGTGTGTGTGTGTGTGTGTGTGGTGTGTGGTGTGTG